TCTCGCGTTGCCATCTTTGCCCAACCACGAATCAACTCTGGAACTGCTGGGTTGTTGGGTTAGCTAGAGATGGATACGTCCATGCATCTACTCATGTATATCCAGCTAGCTGGGTTCAGTAAACTAGCAGACAGCTCCTTCTACGTACTAGCCATTATCAGCATCTATCTTCTGTTTTTTTTTTCCAGAAATGCTATAGGTTGTCCGGTTGTTTCGATGTCATTCAGTAACCGTTTTTTTGTCCGTTCGATCTGTGCCGTGTGATGTTGTGAAGCGTCTGATCTGTTTTGTGGCGTGCGGGTGTGTATGTTTCTGTGACATGTCGGCCTTCCTCGGCGTGGGGTAGTGGGTAGCGTTTGCTCCTGCCCCGACGCTAGTTATCGGCACTTCTTCATCCGGACCGGTGGCGGCGCGAACTGGTGCGGTGGCGGCAGATCTCTCCGATTCGGTGCAGCGGATCTCCCATGCCGTCAATGATTGATATGGAGTCAGTTGAATTATTTACCTTTTTTTGTTAGTGTATTTAAATTTTTTCTTTTTTTGCTGTATTTTTACACTAAACTGTGCTTTTTAATTTCATTGGCAGGTTTCTTTTCAGTTTGTTAGTTTTGGTGTACATTATATTAAGTTTCAAATAGTTGTAAGTATTCTTCCTTGTTCAACCTTTTTTTTTGTTTTCTTACATTTATATTTTCTGCTTGTTCATTTTTTGGATGTTTTTTTGCCGTTGAAACACCCGTTTGGCAGCAAGCCTGAAATCCGGTTGTTATTTGGCTTTGGAATAACCGGTTACTGAAAGACAACAAAACAACCTTTTTATTGTTTTTTTGTTGTTGTTTCCTCCCTTTGAAACAATCGGTTATTGAATGACAACAAAACGACCGTTTGTTCAGTAGATAGACCTTTTTTTTAGCAAAAGCCACACACAAGCAGGTGACTAAGTTCCATGCATGCATAATTTGTAACGTCACTGCTGATGCGTTCTTACGCTAGCCGGCGGCTAGCCGCTCCGATGAGGGGACTGTAACTGTTGATGAATTCTTGCGTCCAAAAAGCGATGGAACTGATGGAGGCTGAAATGCACCAGCAATTGGTATGTGCTCGGCACAACTGACCGGAACAGAGGAAGAACGCAGCAGTAGCGGCCCCAGCTGACGCCTTGACCCAGACCAAGTCGCCAAGAGATCTCTGCGAAATACTCCCTCCGTCCCGTTAAGATTGTCGCTCGGGAAGCGGGATTGTGAGGGGGGCACGGTTTTCCAACGATAAACTCAATGGGACGGAGGGAGTAGTGTGCTGTGTTCCTGTTTTGCGTGACTAGGTAAAAGAAATCGCACTGTGCCGGCAGCGGACGGTAGTAGCATGTTAGGTGCATCAAACTGTTCCCCACTTTGATGAACGTCTTTATTTGGCGCAAACACCCAGTAATTGCCATTCCAAGCAAGACTTTTATTCCTTGCGCTGAGCACACAAAGTTGGGTATTTTTTTTTTTTTGCGACGAAAGTTGGGTCAAATTTGTGCCAACATACATGTATTCCTTTCGCTGCTCAAAATCCAGCGGCAGGGGTTAATCCTAATCCCGTTTACTAATCAGTTTCTGCCCAATGCAGAGCAGAGTACTGTACTGTTGCTGTTACCATTTACTGCCACAAGTGACTCGTGGCAGGCCACGCATCTGCTACTGCTATACTACCTCAGCGCATCAGCAGCGAAGCAAGGAAAAGATCTCTTTCTCTGCAGACCGTCGCATCAGGCAACGATTACACGAGCAGGTCGGTGTGCTGCAGCGGCGATGCACCCGGTTGCAGTAGGCCTAAGGGGGCATAGACCCAGGCCTAGACCTGCACGTTTTATTGCTGCTGTTGCAGGTGCATAAGGGCATCTCCAGTAGTTTAAAAAACAGTTGATAAATCGATAAATTATTTACATCCTGTTTCGCTTGCCTTATGGCCTGTTTAGTTCCAAAAAATTTTACGCAATACCTATCATATTGAATCTTGCGGTCCATGTATGGAATACTAAATGTAGACGAAAAAAAAACTAATTGCACAGTTGTGTGAGAAATCGCGAGACGAAACTTTCGAACGTCTATAATTATACACTAATTGCCAAATACAAACAAAAGTACTACAGTAGCCAAAACCCAAAATTTTTTGCATCTAAACGCGCACTTATATAAGCCGTACTTTTTCAGCCAACGAACAATATTTTTCTCTCACAACAAATTAGTCAACGATACTTTTAGCTTACTTTTAACCATAGCTTATCAGCCAAGCGAACAGAACATTAAGTGACAAAAATCAGGAGCATATTTATTGGCTATCAGTTTTTAGAATCTTGTTGATAAAGTATAGTAGAAAACAATTTTACATAAAAAATCGTAAACTATTTTTAAATCGTTGTAACCATTTTACATTTGCGCTGAGAATCTTGTCATACTCCTTATTCTTCTTTATATCATTCCACAATTGATCTATCGCATATATTTACATGTAATTGGGTCGATTTTTCTAAATGCGAAAAGATAAGAGTTGAGATAGAAGTTGTTGGAGCATTTTTTTTTCAGTCTGGCCAAAAAAATTAAGATTAGGAATGGGTTTTGAAAACTTGAAAATGCTCTTTACCGTACGGAACGACCACTCACCCAAAGAGAAAGGAAAGAAAAGAAAAGAAAAATAAATAGTGAGAAAAAAGATGAACAAAGGAAAAAAGAAAAAGAAAGTGTGCATGAGCATTGGACCAGTGCGTGGAAACGTCTGGAGAGAAGGGGAGAGAGAGGTGTCATAAGAGGGAGAAATGAATCAGCGAAAGAGAAAGAGGGAAATCTGCGACATCTCTGCTGATTTCATTTTCACGAGATCCATTTCTTAGAGAAGAAGAATAAAATACAGAGAGCGAATTGCGCAATATTTTACTCGTTCTTGGCTCCGGCAGTGCATTAGCAGAACTAGTATAATGCCCGTGCTAACGCAATGATTTTATCTAGAGAATGATCATAAAAACATTCAATTTGTTATTTTATAGTTTAACCTTTACCTAATTATTATATTTTATAGCCTAATTTATCATGGATATTAGTTAATGCAGAAGACGTACGTGTAGGGAGGAGCCGGAGACAGGGCCATTTCTGGAGACATCGAGCGTCAACATGACTGGTCGATGATTTGTATTAAGTATAGCTGTATGTTATATTTAAGATGGTATATATGGACAAACGTTATTTGAAGAATAATCATGACAAGGACGTTATGGAGAAACGTCGTAATGAAAATTATATTAAATATAAATATTAGAAGTGTACTTATCTTTGGATAGAAATCTAGTCGATGGCGATAAAGTTGTCCGGTCCTCGTGCTTTTCGGCCTGTTGTGACGGTGGTCGCGGTTGTCATAGCGCCGTTCTTCGTGGCAATCATTCCTGCGACGTGGTCTGGTGGTCGAGGTGGTCGGAGCTCGGCGGAGCCGCTCGAGACGTGGCCGACGTGGTCCGTGGTCGACGTGGTCGGAGCTTGGAGGAGCCGCTCGGGACGTGGCCGACGTGGTCCGTGGTCGACGTGGCTGCTCGATCAGGCTACTCCGTAACCTTCACGCAAGCAAGGAAGATCTCCGACTGCGCCCGAGCTCGGCTGGACATGTCCGAGGGCTTTTGCCTCCCCAAGCGATGGAGCTAGGTACATGCCCTCCGACCACCGAACTGATCGAGCAGCCACGTCGACCACGGACCACGTCCCGAGCGGCTCCGCCGCCAGACCACGTCGCAAGGATGATTGCCACGAAGAACGGTGCTATGACAACTGCGACCACCGTCACAACAGGCCGAAAAGCACGAGAACCGGACAACTTTATCGCCATCGACCAGATTTCTATCCAAAGATAAGTACACTTCTAATATTTATATTTAATATAATTTTCATTACGACGTTTCTCCACAACGTCCTTGTTTTCTCCACAATGGCCTTATTTCTTGATTTCTGATGGAATTTCAACATAAAGTTCTTATTTGCATCCATGACCGCGTCCACGTCAGTGCCTTCCTGCTTGGTTCCCCCAGCACAATTTCCGTTAACTTCGCTAGCAGTGTCAGTGTCTTCCTTCTTGATTTCCACAGGAATTACATTGTGACTATTTGCATCTACTTCTTCGGCCATGTCAGTGGTTTCCTTCATTTCCATAGGAATTTCGAAAGAACCATCTCCACCAATGGCGGAGCCAGGAATTATGTTCAGAGGGGGCGGCCGTCAGGAATTATAATTAGGGGGGCCAGCCAAAAGAGCCAACATGTAAAAACTAAGTGCAACTTAACTCATTAGGTTCCTTGTGACAAGCAAAGTTGTGTTTTGTATGATTATATTATCTAGAAGATATTAATAGGTATATATGACAAGAATTTTATATAATCTCCCGCTTAATATAAATAAAAAATATTAAGTCATACTACTAATTTTTTTTGTTGTGAAATATTGGGGGGGGGCCATGGCCCCTGCCAGCCCCCCCTGGCTCCGCCACTGATCTCCACTGAATTCACTGGTCATGTATGTGTCTTCCTCCTTATGTTCCTCTGGAATTCCAGTAGAGCCGTTTTCAGTTACCTTTCTCTCAGTCTCACATGTAGCAGCTGAATCTTCCTTAACTTCCTTGTTCATTCTCACAGCTTTTATTGACGTCCAAACTTTATTCAATAAACTGTGCTTCTTGCCCCGCAGATGGTCAGCCATGGCAGCGGCGTTGGTACAACTGACCCTGCAGCGCTCACACCATACATAGTTGCTTTTTTGAACAACCTGATGCATCTCTCCATCGACCAGGATGTGGATTTTCTTAGGTGCATCATTTGGGCCTGCACCATTGTTGTTCCCAGTAGTTACTTGCAAACCACTTTTATTAGTATCGTTCACCTTGATCGCTCCACATTGAACCAGCTTTGCCTTGTGCTTTTTCCCTTCAAGATGCTGATTCAGACCAGCCTCACTGGTTGCGCTCACTTGACAGAGTGCACAGCTCTAGTCCCTGGCAGCAGTCTGTAGTTTTGTTGGTTTAGTAGTTGCATAACTCGCATCTGCCTTCCTCTTCACACCAGAAACCTTCATTTCTGATGAAAGAACCTAAAAAAATTAGGAAGAATTAGTGAAATCGAGGTGCATTGTGCATATGTAGCAAACCAAATGTAGAACTCACTGGAGCCTGATTGAATTATGTGACACCAACTAAAGGAATACATGGCAGCATGGGCACAACCGCACAAAACAATCAACAGAAAGATGCATCAGCAACCAATGAAAAGGCAGGAAAAAAAGATTAAGGTGACAAGGAAACTATTGCATAATTAAGAAACTGAAATCCACAGGGAATAAATTTCTGTGTCATCTTAATCTGACCCTTCCTGATTCGGTGCTAACAATTTTATAGTTCTCAACTTAAAACAAACGGTGGTCACAGGAATAAAAGCTTGTTCACTTCTATCACTACCATTCTTTTTTTTCTCCAAAGGGAATATTTGATCTTCTCTAGTTCTCCATACAAGTTCACCAGATCTGTCGAAATGGTAATATTTGACTTCAGAGTTCAAGTACTCTTCTGATCTAAGGGCAATGTTCTTTCTAGATTGTCCTCACTTACAGAAAATGGCTACCATTGGCACTTAAATGACGAGAAAAGCAAGTACGTCACGTTTTTGAAGCGAGAATAACACCGAAGTGCAATAAGAAATTGAAAAAGAAAAATTTCAAAAGTAGTAATCCAGTAGCGCCTTTAACGCCAAATGCGGAAAAGAATCTGAACATGCATCATGCATGCGCACTATGAACGGCTAGTGTGCTCACAAACCTCAGAGCTCTCGCTGGGCGCGATCTCGCGCAGCTGGAGCTGATGCCTCGGCTTCGGAGGCGGCAGGGGCCTCGTTCTCGCCTCATTGGGGAGCATCGGTTGCCCAAAATCATGGGAGCCGCCGAGGGCCGAACCCCTCCCACGACCCGAACAAAGCCGGTGGCGGGCAGTTCGGATGCATGCCCACCGACATCTGGGGCAGCGGCATTGGCGGCATGAATGGGCCATCGGGCGTGAAGAACGGGCCTGGGGGTGGTGGCGGCACGATGGTGGGGCCGTCGGGCCCGACGAACGGGACGGCGCCGAAACCGCTGTGGAAGCGGGCGAGCTCGCGGCGGACCTCCTCCTCGATGAGCCGTCGCTCCACCTCCTCGCGGATGATCTGCTCGCGCCGCGCCGCGGCCTCCCACTCGAACGGCGAGGGCGGCGGCGGCTCGCCATGGAAGGGCCCGGCTGCGCGGGAGCGGGGACTTTTAGAGGCTAGAAATATGCGGTCTCGATCGATCTCTGGATGGTAGGGCGCTTACCTTGCGGTGGTGTGAAGCGTCGGTCGGGGCCGGGGCAAGAGTAGCAGCGCCTCCTCCGCCCCCGTGCGTGTCCGAGAAGTTCCGTGATTTTTGGCGGCGTGGCGTTCGTAATACTCGGTGGGGCTGCATGACGTGGGTGTGGGGGAGAATGAAGAGATTTGATACACTCAATTCAGGCCATCGATTGTGTAACGAGTAAGGAGAGAGAAGGCTTAGAGTGCATCTGGACGGTTCGTTTGAAATGTGTTGTTTTCCTGGGTACACTTTTTGGGGTGGACTTAGAGGGGACATCTCAGCGGGGGGTCGTTTTCTTGTGTGGACGTAGGAAAGAAAAGATGGTGTATTAGTAGGGTATATTAAATTAGGGCCTCGTTTAGTTTTTCCTCTAAAATTTAGACCATATCACATCGAATATTTAGATAAATATACGGAGTATTAAATATAGACTAGAAAAATAATTAATTATATAGATTACGACTAATTTGTGAGACAAATTTTTTAAGCATAATTAGTCCATGATCTGACAATATGATGCTACAGTAAATCTACGGTAAACATGTGCTAATAACGGATTAATTAGGCTTAATAAATTCGTCTCGTGGATTGTTGAGAACTTATGTAATTTGTTTTATTATTACTATCCGAATACTCCCTGTGACATCCGATATGACATCTCTAAACTTTATTCCCTGAATTTAAACACCACCTAAATGACATGAATAAGACATCAGCAAATCTGTCACAAGTTGATACTCCCCTATGACACCCCAATATGACACCCCGATGCCTTGTTTAAATTCAAGGCGTAAAGTTTTGTGATGTCACATCGAGTGTTACATGTGAGTATCACATGGGGTGTTCGGATACTAATAAAAAAACAAATTACAGAATCCGTTAGGAATCCGCGAGACGAATTTATTAAACCTAATTAATCTATCATTAGCACATGTATTACTGTAGCACATGTTGTTAAATCATGAACTAATTATGTTTAAAAGATTCGTCTCGTAAAATAATCATAAACTATATAATTAATTATTTTTTAAGTATATGTGTCCAAATATTCGATGGGTCACGAAGAGAAACTAAACCAGGTCTGAAACTGATTTTTTTTTTTCGTCTTCCAAATCTGGCGATGGTGATTGGGGCCGGACGGGGACCCCAGCCCGGCCAGCTCCTCCCGCTCCGCCTCCACGTCCGTGGTAATAAATCGCCCGTCGTCTCCAATACCCCCCTCCTTTCTCCTTGCCGGCGACCACGAACCAAGAACACGCGCGGCATCCCTGAGCTGAGCCACCAGGCTAGCAAAAACGATTCCTTTCTCTCTCGGATCCCAGCCGCTCCCCAAGCGTGCGCGCAAATTCTCTCCTTGCCTCCCCCAGGTGAGCTTCCCCTGCCATTAGTTTGTTCCTTTTCTAATCCCTCATTATTCCCCTCTACCATCATCAATCTACTGTTTCGAGATATGTGTTGGTGAATTCGGCGGGTCTTGAGAGAGGGGGAAGGGATTAAAAAAAAAACTGAAATTTTGTCAGCGTTTCTTGGCTTGGCTGCCCGCTTTAATAATGGCCGCGCGGTTGGTTGTTCCGATTGCCAGGCCAGATGCATTGCTCAGGAGCGCTTGGGCCGTGCGAGCTGCGGGATTTGGGAGATGCGTGCAGTTGAATGCGTGGGATTTGCCGCGATTTCTTTATGCTAATCGCCCTCTCCTCCCGACCCGTGCTCCCCCCGCGTCCGCTCTCCCTTTCTCGTCCCCAGTTGCCGCCGAGCCAATTCAGCGCCGCTTTACTGTTATATAAGCGCGCCTCCGGACCGGACCAGGGCTCTGAGATGTGTTCATCTTTCTCTCCTTGCAGCGCCGTGCTCTTGTGCTGAAGATCCATGGAGGGGTGCCAACTGCTAGTAGGCTGTAGGATGGAGATGGAGGAGGAAGCGTTCTTTGACTCGCGAGAGGAGCTCACGGCGTCGCCGGCGCCCAGCCCGGGCCCTGCATTGCCGTGGTCGGGAAGCCTCGACAGTGTGTGCCAGAGGAGGGAGCGGTTCATGAGAAGCATGGGCCTAGAGTGCTGCCCGGCTCCCCTGCAGGCCGATGCTGTTTCCACTGTGGGCGATGTCGAGAAGGAGGAGGAGGTTGTGCCGGAATTTGGGAGATTGTGGTCGCAGTCGGATGAGAATGACTGCTCCATGTCGAGTTGGTCCACGGAGGAGACGGGGAGCTCAGTGGATGGTGCCTCGGATGACAATTCTGTCAGTGGATCCAGCCGAGATGATGCTAGCAGCAAGGTGGGCTGGAGTTTCAGTTCATTGTCCCTCATCCAGAGGCTCATGAGCCGCAGTGGTAAGCTTTCTGGTGTTCCCAAGGCGATCGAGAGGAGGAGAAACGGATGGCTTCGGAGGCTGGGCTTGAGGGCTGGTGTCCTCGATCATGGAGGTGATGAAGCTAGCACCAGCTCCTCAGAGAGTGAGCAAAACAGGTGTGGAAGGTATGAAAGGGTCAAGGTCCGTTGCTACAGGAAGCGGTCGAAAGAATTGTCAGCAGTTTATCAAGGCCAAGTGATCAAGGGCCGATGATGGGGCCATCCTGACTATGAAGTTTAGTCCGGATGGGCAGTTTCTTGCAAGTGGAGGCGAAGATGGAGTTGTCAGGGTCTGGGGTGTCACACAGTCTGACTGCAAAATTCCCATGGATGATCCTTCTTGTGTTTACCTCAAAGCTCATCGCCAGAGTGGCTTGGCTCCTGTCGATGCTGACAATGAGAAGAAATGCAAAGTCAAGGGCGTGAAGCAATCTGCAGATTCTGCTTGTGTTGTGATTCCAACAATGGTGTTCCAGATCTCAGAGGAACCATTGCATGAGTTCCGTGGTCACTCTGGTGATGTACTGAATCTGTCATGGTCTAACAACAAGGTCAGTACAATGAAATGTGTTTCGCCCCTCATTTGTAAGGTTTGATTGCATTTTTTCTTTTGTCCTTTCCTTTCTGATGATTGAAATTTTCTACCTTGCAGCATCTACTGTCAGCATCAACAGACAAAACTGTTCGCTTGTGGGAAATTGGATCTGCAAACTGCATCACTGTTTTTCCACACAGCAACTTTGGTAGGCCTATAGTCTCTTAATTGCTGCCTCAGAAGTTTTCAACTATGCTTCTTAATTTGACCTCACCAATTCGCTATGAAAAATTACTTTTGCAGTGACTTGTGTCCAGTTCAATCCAGCCAATGAGCATCGATTCATCAGTGGATCAATAGATGGCAAAATCCGTGTATGGGATATTCCCAGATGCAGTGTCATTGATTGGGTGGATATTAGAGACATAATAACAGCGGTTTGCTATCGACCTGATGGAAAGGTATCAGCATGCATTCTGAAGTGGTTTTTTGGCTAACTTGTTATTTCAGTAGTTTGTGAGATTAATCTTCTTTTTCTTTTACATCTTGCAGGGAGCAGTGGTTGGAACCATTACTGGAAATTGTCGATTTTATGATGCATCAGGTAAAAAGAAAAAAAGTTAAATCTCTACTAGCTTTTCAATATCATTTGAGCACATCTCTGCTTTTACTTGAATGATATTCCATATATGCTGACCATAAATACATCTTGATGGATCAGATAATCTGCTGAGGTTTGAGACACAAATTGCACTCAGTGGCAAGAAAAAATCTTCTCTTAAAAGAATCACTGCTTTTGAGGTAAATATCTTCACGAGAAGGAAGGCTTTTATTGCATAGATTACTTCATCAGTCATTTTTTGTTATGATGCTCCTATGTTCTGACTCTTTATTTTATTTTTCATGTCAGTTCTCCCCAAGCAACCCAAGTAAATTAATGGTTACCTCTGCTGACTCGAAGATCAAAATTCTTGATGGAACCATTGTGACTCAGAATTATAGTGGTACGGTCCACATGCTTAGCCTTCATTCTTATTGATCTAAGTGATCATTACATTTTATGTATTATGAACTCATCATTTTATTCATTCAATCAGGACTCCGAAGTGGCTCTTGCCAGTCATTGGCAACATTCACTCCTGACGGGCAGCATATAGTTTCTGCTAGTGAAGACTCCAACATTTATGTATGGAACCATGAAAACCAAGATGAGCCTTCACTGAAACATGCAAAAACCATATGGTCCTCAGAGCGCTTCCACTCCAACAATGCAGCCATCGCAATACCATGGAATGGCCAAAAACCCAGAAACCCAGTCTCTTTGGCCTCTCAAATTTTGTCACCACAAGGAGATAACTTCTGGTGCATGAGTAAAGCTGTTAAGTGCAGTTCCAGTCGCAGTGAAGATTCTGCTATTAATAGTTTTGTGTCAAGATTTGCTCCTGGTATTTTCAATTTGAATCAGGAGTTCTCTGAGTCCACCTGCAGAAGTTCAGCAACCTGGCCAGAGGAAATTCTGCCTTCTCGCTCAATTCGTGCAATTTTGGATGAGTCACAGTACAAGTTCCTAAGGAACTGTTTCCAGACCACACCAAACTCCTGGGGTCAAGTGATAGTTACTGCAGGATGGGACGGCAAGATTAGGTCGTTCCAGAATTATGGCTTACCAGCGCATCAGTGATCAGCTTGAGCATTTGCTGAAACTACACGGCAGTTTTGGCACCTCACATGGCCTGAAGAGAGGTACCCAAGCACCCAGCTATGCTGGTCCAGCGTGTGGTTTCTTGGTACAAGACATCACATGCTCAGTGCTCCTGCTGAATTGTACATGGACCAGTGTTGTACATAATCAACCTGGTGGTCCTTCGAGATCTCCGCATCAGCGGTTGTTCATGGCAGGACCCGTAGATTGTACCTTTTGTAGAAAATTTTTAGTGTAGATCAGATTTCTTCCTTTGCCCCTTATCAATTGCTCATTGATATATACAACAGAAATGTTAGTCTCAGATGAGTGTAAGTTCCCCTCCCATTGTATTGCGGGAGCTCAAGCGGGAACCGCCAGATATATATGTTCCAGTCAAGTATACAAAATTCGTTCATTTTTTTTTAAAACTTTGTGCCCTGTTGTTCTGCTCGTTCTTGATCTATACTTTGTCGAATTTCAGTTACAGGTGACTGGTTCTCCGGTTTGACATCATAAGCAGTTCGGTGTGGACCCAGTGAAGCTGCTCTAGAGGTTATTATTGTACCTCTTATGGGGCCTTAGGTTGTTGATCTTTGATTGGTTTGCCATGTTAGTTGAGAATCTCACAAATCTACGGATCCTGATCCTGAATCCGTTAATGATTTGAGCTCAGACCTAGCATTATCTGATGAATGTGCTATCATCTGTTTCCAAGATATTTTCCCCGTGCATTTGATCTGTTCTTTGTTGTCTTTGCGAATCTGTTATCAGTGATTTTATCCTTCTAAATATTTTGTTGTCAATCTTGAGCTACTATGTGGGATAAGATATCCAGATATTTTGGTCGGTTTATGGAACAAGAACCCCATTTGCTGCTAGCACATCACTACTACTTAACTGTACGTTTCTCTGGAGGTTGAGTTCCCTGCTATTCTGAGGCTGGCAAGCCTCCCAATGCATGTGGTCGTCATGCCATTCGTCCGGACGTCAATGGATTCAACTCACTAAAAACATCAGAGACGCATTTGTCTACTTGGATCGAGGCAAGGCGATCATTGATTGCCTCTAAATTTTTAACAACTTGGCCAAGATTGGTGATCCTGGTTTTGTCAAACATTAGGTTACTCAGTCTGCATGATTGACTAATGTAAGTCCAATGCAAGGTAGATAATGGATTTTCAATCTTTCCTGCTTTTGGGTACTGATAGTGTCAGCGGTGACGCCATACTGACATCTGACACTGCGACGATTATGTACTATTATGGATGGGTACAGGAAATTCGTTTCAATCCGGAGGAGAGACTTCACTGCTGCCCAGAATCGAGGCGTGTAAGTTCCGTAGTTTGATCACATACTGAGATTGATTTTTGCAGCTTAACATGGTAAGGCCTGAATACTCTGACCACGAAAAAACTATGAACTAAAAAAAATTATGTTATCAAGGTACAATTTCCATTTCCTGCCATAATTGGACCAGACCACTAGGTCATCAGAATTGAGCAATTTAGTCAACAGCGGCTAGCTTAAAGTTGAGTAATAGAGAATTCGTCCGGTTGCAGCCTTGCTTCAGCTTCAAACTTTGCATGTCTCTGGTTATTAGGTCATCGCTGACCTCCTTCACTGACCCTCTGCTTAGGACTTAGGTCATACCTACTGTACATTTTTTTAACTGTCAGGGTTGCCACTATGCTTCCAATTCACCGCGGTCCACCGTCCTGCAATTCAACGAAAACAAAAAAAGAGAGGCGCTGCGCTCAAAAGGAGAACCGGTCCCGCATAGTCAGAACACGTTGGAAAAGCCGAGAAAGCCTCCGCTGCGGATTCAGAAACCTGTACTGAAACCACCAGTAAACGGCTAGAGTAAACGCCGGGAACAGTAGGAGGGGAATTTACCACGCTTTGAATTACTCTGCGCAGCGGGCAGCGCGGCGCAGACCTGCAGGCTGCAGCACAGGCACAGCAGAGTAGTCTGAACATTCTGGCCAGGCTCGAGTCATTTTGCATTCGCAGCACCACCGCATACCGATCCGTGCATGCACAGAGATCATAAAATAAAATAACATAAACTAGTAACATCCGTGCGGTCTTCAGTTGCAACCAGATTCCGTTTACGTCCGCCGTGACCTCATCGCCGCGGCCTCCGTTCCCCAGCGCGTGCCAAGCAAAGCAAGTGGCCACCACGGCACGTCGGCACCACCCACCAGCGGCAGCCTGATTGCCGCCTGCACTGCACTGCACTGCACGGGGAATGGCAAATCCGAGGTGTGCCATGCCGTGCGTGCCGCACGAAGATCGCCGCGAGCACGGTAAACAAAGACCCCCTGTGGTGGGCCGTGGGCTGTTGTGGCACAGTGCGATCAAGGCACCAATACATGCGGCAATACATTTTTGCAGAGCAGTGCTCCGGATCCGAGCGCTGTTTGTTTGGAGCTGTTTCTGAGAGAGAGCTGCAGTGCAGCGTCGTCTGGATTTGTCCGTGGGGGATCCCCCGGGGCATCAGCAGCATCAGCATGTTGTCATATGGCAACTGTCTTGTGCTGTAGCAGCAGTGGGAGACATGCAGGTACAGCATCCACCACTGCGGGTTCAGCAGATTCAGAGCGGCGGTGGACACGGGACGAGCCACAGTCGCATCGCCACTGCCTTGCCTGCTCCCGGCCTCCGATCACCGCTCATGCGCGATGCGATCTCGGAGGGTGGGGGTGTGGAAAAATGGACAGCTCACGCACGCACGACGCGGAATGATTCGTTGGTTTTCTCATGGACCCCTCCCCAAGAGCGCTCGTCCTGTACCCGCCAAAGGAAGCAGTGCCGAGGCAGTTTAGGCAAAGGTGATAAAAAGCAGCATCTGTGCTATGCTTGGACATCCAAGAGCAGAAAATATTCGTTCCAAAAAGAAAAACTGTGCCTCCGTGTATATGTATTCGCAGACTGCATTGTCTCGTACTCGTACTCTCGTTAGGTGTCAGACTGTCATGGTTTCACGTGATGATGAAGGATGTGTAGTTTGTTAGTGCTGTAGTGTGCTGCACGACCTGAGGCGGCACAACGGTAAATGCGCAATGCATCCTCGATCGTCTACCGGAACCGGAAGACTCTGCTTGGTGCAAGCGATGATTGCATTTCGGTTTCGGCGCAGGGAGAATAATGCGTCGACTATTGGTCAAGGAAGATACCCATCTCTACTCCAGAGTCCAGACCATTTACTAAGCAAGAAGCAGAAGCATTGTGAACATGCCAGATCCTGTAAATCTTCATTAGGTGTTAGTCTGATTGGCCGAATGGCTGATGGAGATGCATGTTGCGTCTAACCATCCTTGTTGTTTTTGCACACAAGCAACTGAAGCAAGCTTCTCCGACTCCGACTACTGGAACTTGAACTGACCAAGAAGTAGTGGTCAGCAGAAGTCAGAAGAGAACAGGTGCTAAGCTCGCTAGCTTCAAGCCAATGGACGTTCGTTGACCAAATGTTTGGTCGTTTTCAGTTGCATTCTGCTTGGTCCTCTCTCGCCCTCTGCGTGTAAATCGAACAACATGTCAGGCCGGGACGCTGACGAACTTTGTCCTCAAACCACGAAACTGTCGACAGGTCTCAGAAACGCCTGACGAGTAAAAGTTGTATAGCGCAGAGGAGAAACGCTGTGCATGCGTCCATGAGCGTTCATCTCTGCCGCCTGCCGGTGCCTCTTGTGCAACCCTGTCCCTTCTGACGACGCCAGGATGCAAGCCACTGTGATTGCCTCCTCGCTCGTGCATAATATAACCGGATAAGCACGCAACGTGCAGGATCGCAATCCGTTATTCTACTGCCGGCCCCCTCCATCACCTTCGAGGCGTCGAGGCCCAACGGGAAACCGGTCTCTCTTCCTCTCTCTACACGCTCACTGCTGACCTCACCGCTTACTACACGGTTACAACCATCACACGCCATTCAGAAGAGATCAGAGGGATACGGCCGGCGTGCAAATGGCCGCATTAACAAACATCGCTGCTGCTACAGCAGCGGGCCAAATGCACTGCTCCCTTGGTTACGACTCCTCACGCTGCGACAGCATGCATGGCGACCACGACCTTTTAGATCCACACCCTTCGTTGCAATGCAAGGCTGAAAGTCTGCAACCGCGTGCTGTTCCCTTTTGTTAGGCTTCGTTCGGCTTACCCCATATTCGATTTATTCGACTTTTTTCGATCGGAACGCTTTTTTTCTCTCACGATAATTCAATTTGAAACAACGTTTTTTCAATTGGTTTTAAGCCCAAAATGCTGTCAGCCGAACGGGGCCGTATAGGACGCAGCGGGCAATGGCATCTCATCGCTTAGTCTACTCGGCGCATCTCTCGCTCCCTCGCCCGGGGGGAATTGTCAATTGTGGTCCGTGAGATTCAATCAAAAATCATCAAACGACACTGCCCCCTCGGACTCGGAGGTAAGGCATGGATGGAGGATGGTGGGTGTGCTGCTGTAGCGGCGTGGGGAGACAGCAGGATGCCGAAGCAGGGATCCAGCCCCGCGGCACCGGCGCACCGCTCGTGCTGGAGCCTTGGATCTGCCGGTCCCTCCCGGCCCGTCTCGGCCTCGTCGGGTCGGGGCGTACGGCTCCTAGTTTATGGCTTTATGCCCATGGGCCTCCTCGTCCCGGGACGGGACCAGACAGCTAACTGGACCGGGCGGGGGAATGCGGGATCGAGTTGCGCAGGCGCAGCGCTACGGCTCCTAGTTTATGGCTTTATGCCCATGGGCCTCCTCGTCCCGGGACGGGACCAGACAGCTAACTCGACCGGGCGGGGGAATGCGGGATCGAGTTGCGCAGGCGCAGCGCGTGGGTCGTGGACCCGTGTACGTTGAGCGCTCATGGGCCAAGGGGAGCCTGCCCTCGTTGGACGCCGTACGATCCGTGCGGCGGGGCGAGCGGAGGGCTAGGATCCGCTGCGGCCTGCGGGAGGAGTTAAGGAGCGCGCGGTGCGAGGACAGGTGACACGCTGTTGGTGGATTTGCAG